GGGCTTATCTTGAAGGCTTGCAATTGTATGTTTGTTTACCTTCAATTAACAATTATTAGTTTTTGGTTCGATATACGCAGAATGGGTGTATGTATCTTGAAGGCTTGCAATTGTATGCTTGTTTTGGGATTTAATTTTATTAATTATAAGATCCCAAGCAGATGGTAACACCCAGCCATTCCCTCATCATAGTAATCTTCTCCATAACATTCCAAAGCAGTCATAAGAATCGTCATCTTCCAGTTCTCTTAGTTGAGTTTGGGAACCATTTTCTTCTTTATAGAGCACATCTAATATCGCTAACTGTATACTATGAGCAAGGCATCGGTGGTGGAAAGTGCTGCTTCTCTTCCAAATGCGATCATTACACTGGCACCGTCATTAGTTGTATAGGCGAGCGGGCGGATTTGTCGTCGGCTCAGGACTTGGGAGTAGGTACTCTCTCTGACTCACTCCAGAGTGTAGTCGCGCAACTTGCGTTGCATAGTCGAGCCGCATTGCCATAACATCCACCACGCAAAAGCATGGGCTATTTAAATTTTTTTGACATAATATTATTTAACATAGATTTATAATGAAATACCGAAAAAGTCGTAAATACCGGATTCCATTCACTCAATCTCGGTATTTTAAAGCTTTCGCTTCAGTCCGGTATCCCAGTATTTTTGAGATTCAGGATCCCGGTTTGCGACCCCTAGTACTGTTACTAATAATTAAAAACTAATAATTTTTCTTAACCTATTATATATTGTTTATGAATCAAGTTACATACAACTAAAAGTAAAAATTAATTTTTTTTTTTTTTGGGTTTTTTGAGTTATTTTTTAGTGTTTTTTTTTTTTTTTTTTTTTTTTTTTTTTTTTTTTTTTTTAATTTTATTAATTTTTTAATTTTTTTAATTTTTTTTTTTTATTTTCTTCCCCTATATACCCTTTTAATTTTTAAATTTTTTTTTATTTTATTTATATATATATTTTTATTTTTTTTTTATTTATATTGTTGGGTTGTTTTGTTAGTATATTTAAGAATAGTAATTAATATGAAATTAAAGAAAATTTTGGTTTTTTTTTTTAGTTTTTGGGGGGATTTTTTTTTTTTTTTTTCCTTTATCATAACTGGTAATGAAACTTCTGGTATAAAGTATTCAAAGGGGAATTTACATACCTTGGTTCTAGATAAAGTAATTTTACTTTGGCAGGTTTATGATGCAAAACAAACAATAATCTATCATGCCACTATCACTGAAGTTAAAAATAACTTAATTATGAACAAACTGGTGAAAAAATATTTATATAGGAAGTAAAATAATCCAAGCAATGCATGAGTTTAACAAATAATGCAAAATATCTATCATATATTATGCAACTTCAAGGAAGCTGCCTTTGAGAAAAAAAGAAAATTATTCAGGTCAGTGAAGGTCTTTTGGTGCAACAAGAGTCATTCATGAAACATAAATCTAATTTAATAAAGCAAAAAAAAATCATGCTTATTACAGTGGCCTCCACCTGTTGCTCCACTTCTTCTTCTTCTGGTTCATTATTTTCTTCTGGTGTCAAAAGTGCATCATCTGCTTCAGCATCCCAACTGTCAATTGTGGGAGAAGAATCAGATGGGATTGGAAGTGTTGCAGCCACTGGAGCTTCTGCAGGTGGTACAGGCGGAGGTTCCTCTACTCGGGGTGAAGCTGATGCTGCACCACCATCTCCACTGTCACCACCGTCACCGCGACCTATGAATATATAATATTAGAAATACATAATACATACATAAACACTCCTGCCTGTTACCTAGAGGGGTAGGCAGAGACTACGGACTTCCATTTAGCATGATCCTGACACACCTCTTTCGCCTCCACATTCACATACTTACACATATACGCTCGTCGGTTAAGGGTACTCCTAATTTAGCCCATTTTCAATATATCGCCAATTTGGTCAATAAAATTTCACCTAAAACATCCGTTTCCGACTCAACCATTCACTTCTGCAACATAAATTTGCTCTGTCACTCTTGCTTTCTCACATTGCAAATTTGCTTTCTCACTTAGAAATGTGGAGTTCAATTATTGCAATCATCCTTACCAGGAATTGAGTCTCGACAATCTGCCTGTTTTATATACCTATACAAAAATGCTGATGATTAACAAAGACACAGGTTATTTTAATTTACATACAAGTTATGTAAACAGTGTAAGTAAATCGAAATTCATAATTTACAGGTAAGATAAGCACTGAAATATGCTCTAACAAAAGAAAGATTGAAGTATGAACTTAATTTTGCAGTAGAAAAACATTCTTCCATATATCAGTCTACACCACAGTTGATAGTCCAACTACAAATTTAAGTTGTAATCATACACTACAAATTTACAGTTTTCTGATTTTAATTCAGTTTAAATCAAATTACTTAAACTCAGGTGAACTGAATGCTTTTTAATCACACCTAAGTAAGGTTCTCTAAAAAATACTAAAAATCTTATTTAACTTAAATTATAAATTCAACAAGTTGTAAGACACTACTGAAAGTATGTAGCTAATTTAAATTATATGGTGCAGTTATTTATTAATGGAAGTATCAACTAAAACTAGGACCAGATATTATAAAGTATATTATCTGCATCAAATCATGACTAGCACAAATATATAAGAAAAAATATGCCATATAATTTAAATAGTAATACTTACAAGAAAAAAACTAACTTTAACGTTTAGTAATGAAATTAAAAGATAAGATAAAAACAGATTAGATATCAGTGACAAAGTTACACTATGAACTATTTAACCAGGGTTAAAATAATCTGTAAAATATGTTTAACTTTCAAGATTGTTTCACAATCGTGTTGTTATGCAAATTAATTAAAAGCTACAACTGTATTATGAAATAAAATAATAATTATCATAGAATTAGTCTTAAGCACAAATAAATTATCAAGAATCCACAAACCTTTCTTGTATTCCATAAGAAATTAGCAAAAATTTGTATTTCTCCGAGAGAAAGTTTAATTCATGTAAAAGCAGTATCGCGCCGCGTGTCTCGACATAACCCGTTAAAACTGGATTTGGAAAAATCGCCCGTCAAGTAAACGTTGCGCATAATCGAGAACACAAGTTAATATTATTTTAAACCAAAACAAACACTCATATCTATGAAGAAAGAATTCAAACTGGGTGGGAGATATATTTTTTTACAGGTATAAAATAATGAAATTTGTCTGGCTTACCGTTCAGAACAGGGCTCTCTGCGGAATTTGTGGAACTGCTTTCAGATTTTTGTGGCGTAGTAGGTGATTCCGAATTGTCGCTAGCCTGAGAAGGCTTACAAAAAGAAGGCACGAACTCCACGGCATTTACATTCAACGTGGAAAATTTTGTAGACACATCATCGGGATCTTTTGCACCTTGTTCACCTATGACTTCGGCTTGACTTTCCCAAGAGTCCGGAGCACCGTTATTGGACATTTTTATATACGAGATAGTGTAAAATTACTATATAAGTCTTTATATTCCAATATTTTTATAATTAATCGCGTTCTTTTCACGATAGATCCGCGTGTGTCTTTATCTGCCACCGGAAGTTCATGGCAAATTGCCAAAACCAAATTTGTATATGTACAAAATAATATAGATAAAATTATTATATACGAAATTTCAATAAAAATAAAACTACAAAGTGTTTAAAAATAAACATAAAGTTTCAAGTTTTTTCGATGTAATTTAAGATCAAATGAAAATAAGTCTTGGAATTACTGAAATAAAAGTAGCATTACGAACAGAGGTTTCCGGTTTCCATGTGCGACGATACAAAAAAGTTAAAACAAACGTAATAAAAATTCTTATATTACGCTACAGGATTTCTAAACTTTTTTAGTTTCACTGACTATTTTGTATTTAATAATATCTAAAAAATTATTTATTTTTACTAAATGATAAATTCAAGTTCGCAGTTATTCTACTCTACTCTATGAATTCTACTGAAATAATATGGTTCCTGCTCTGTGTAGTGTTTTAAAGTATAAATCTATTTTTCTACTTAATTAAATAAAATTAGCGACCCGCCTCGGCTTCGACTGGATAGGATCTATTATATGGCGTTATTAAAATTTAAGTTTGCTTTAAAGAACTTCCACAGAGGGCACCACTACGATAGTATATGAGGCAGACCGCGGTGCTGGCACTGTCCTGCGCCCCCTTTTACCCAAGGGGGGTCGCTTCCGATACGGCAGAAACGTCCTCCAGGCCAAAGCCATTCCTAGGTGGTGTTTAGTGGGTAGGCACTTAGGTTCTCTTAGTGATTCCCACATAACCACGCAGCCAGCTGCGTGGTATGCTAAGAGCATTCACCACTTCCGTCCCCCGCTTCCCGGAGGATTGCCCTTTACTTTGCTTCTGGGCACAAAAAGAACGTGACCACGGTCTGTTTTTCTTTTCTCGCACATCCACAAACATCAATAAATCGATTACGAAGCTGTTACCCGTTTTCCTCTCCACTCCTTCAAGATATTTTCCATCATTCATGAATTAATTTCAGCTTATCCTCTTCTGAACATAAAACTTTTTCATAAATTGTCTCATAGGGATGATATTGGCCACGGCTACTTCTCTTTTTAATCTGGAAGTAGCAGGAAAACCGATTATTTTAAACATTTTTAGTTGTTATCAGGAACACTTTGCGGTCTATCTTCTGTTCCCTCTGTCGTCTTAAGCCCACTTTCCACTATGGGATATAATATAATTTATATTAAATCTCGAGATATAAATTAATATCGTTCACCGTACTTTTAAATAGAACTGATTCCACTGAGATGTAATATATTACATCCCAATCTATAAATAGTTTTTCGATCCACCGAGCGATATTTTCGTATTATATTTCACCTCCTGTACCCTGCACACCCTTCCGCGTCTCCACTACGTCCTCAGATCGTCCAATGACGAACGCACAGTGGTTAAAAGATATACATCACAGTGTGAAGGGCAATCGCGGGATAATAATAATAACAATTATAATAAAGGCGTAGGGAAGTGACGACCCCATCGCCCGCTGACGTGACGGTTATGTGACAAAACCGCTACGTCCGCGCAGTCAGTCAGCACCTTGCCAAGAGGTGTGAGCGCCGTGCCTTGGCAAAAATTGATGGTGCAAGGGCCCGCTTGTGCATATGGCCTCACCATGAAACGGCGCCGGGTCTGGGCGTCTCCCGTTAAATGACGCCCTGTATGGATGATGGAACAAAGAAGATTGCGCAAAGGGCCGCTGCCTGGAGGTCGCCAGGGCGCGTCTGGAGCTGGCGCTGGACGCGACAGCATGCGAACCGCCAGCCGAGCGCGAGGTGCTGCACGACCACCCAGCAGCCCCTCGCATCCATCATCCCCACCAGCTTGCTTGGTGTCGGCAGGGTCTTCGCAGACCCAGCAATCGGCACCCGCCACTGGTGGAGTACGCCGCATGCGATAGACCATCAATATGAATACAAACGCATTGCGGGCGTATTTTAGGGCGAAAGGGGGAGAAATTGGAGGTTTCGCGTATCGGGCTAGGATGCATCGTCTTTTTACTGAGCTGGAGCCATCTATTACTGTTACCGAGCAAAACCTGGCAGACCGAGTTCGGTATATCTTACGCTCAAATATATTTGATGGCGCCGAACTCGAACGGCTAAGACGTGAGGCTGTTCCCTCATCAAATGAAAACGATACGACTGAGGGTGCGGTGCCACAAGTTGCAGAACAACCCGCACATGTGGATGCCGCCGTGAATACCCCAGTGGTTGCTGATTCAAATGATGATGGAACATTCACCCAGGAACTAGAAATAGAGCAAATGAGGAGTACATTGGAAGAGGCGATTACGGAAACGCCAGTACCGAATCAGGCCGACACGGTTGCATTCTGGCGCGGCCTGTGGTCAGAGCCCGTAAACCACAACGAGGGCCCTTGGACGGAAGTTGTGGCGAGTCAGTGTGCGGGTATTACGCCCATGGATCCCGTCACCATAACGCCGGATGACGTAGCTGAGGCGGTCCGTAGGGCCCCGAACTGGAAAAGTCCGGGACTCGACGGGCTGCATCACTATTGGCTGAAGGGGTTCGTGGTGTGTCACACTGTGCTCGCCCGACAGTTTCAAGAGGTTCTCAACCAGAAGTTGCTCCCGAGCCTCTTCACTACTGGGATCACACATTTGGTTCCTAAAGGCCAGGGTACCACAGACCCGAGCAAATACCGCCCCATCACGTGTCTACCGACCACATACAAGACACTAACATCCATTTTGAGCGCGCTCAAAATGGATGTCGGGGCGGTGGTCGTGGAACCAAGGAACCACTCCTCATTGACGCGGTCATTGGCAAAGTGGTGAAACGCAACCGTCGGAACTTCTCCGCCGCCTGAATAGACTACAGAAAGGCATTCGACTCGGTGCCCCATACATGGCTAAAGAGAGTCCTCGAACTGTACAAGATAGACTGTACAGTTAGAGACTTCCTCGAGCAGTGTATGGGGCAGTGGAGTACGATCCTTTGTCATCTGGGCGAGCGGATGACGGCTGCGGAGAACCACATAAGGATAGGAAGGGGTATCTTCCAGGGCGATTGTCTGAGTCCAATATGGATCTGCATCTCTCTGAACCCTCTCAGTACCTTACTGGAGGGCTCCGGGAGGGGATTTCAGCTACGGAAAGGAGGGACAAAAGTGACCCACCTTTTCTATATGGGTGACCTCAAGTTATTCGCCTCCAGTCGCTCCCATCTTATGGAATTGCTAAACATCACTTGTGAATTTAGCAATTCCATTGGAATGTAGCTGGGGACGGATAAGTGTGCGGTACTCCATGTTGAGAGGGGTAGGGTTGCTAACTCTGAGGGCATAGACTTATCTATGCCCGTCAACTTAAGGACCCTTTCCGAGGCTGAAACATACCGATACCTGGGTATGTCACAGAACATCGGTATCGATGAGGCTGATATGAAACAGTCAGTTTGCGACGTGTTTTATGCACGCTTGACCAAAGTGCTTAACAGCCTTTTGTCCGGTGTGAATAAGACACAAGCATATAACGGCTGGGTCATGCCTGTCCTCATGTACACCTTTGGCATACTCAGATGGACTCAGACTGAACTTAACGCCCTGGATAGAAAAGTCCGCACTACCATGACGTCCCACAGGATGCATCATCCGAGATCGTCGGTAATGAGGCTGTACTTGCCGCGAAAGCATGGTGGGCGTGGCTTCTTGAGCGCGCTCACCATGCATAATCGCGAAGTGTGCAGCCTCCGTAATTACTTCCTGGCGAGATCGGAAGATCCATTCTATAAGGACGTCATTTCTTGTGATAAAGGACTTGCCCCTCTATCCTTAGCCAACGAGCAATGGCAAGACCCGGAGTTGCAGACAGTTTCCGACCGGGAGACCGTATGGAAGGAGAAGGAGCTCCACGGGAGGTTCTACAAGTCTCTGAATGGGCCTTTCGTATACACAGTACGCTTTGGTGACCTCTTCGGGGAAACCGAGGGTTTTGTCTGTGCAATACAGGATCAGGTTATTAAGACCAACAACTATTGGAGATACATCCTAAAGGATGGCACCATCGACATCTGTCGAGCTTGTCGCCATCCCGGTGAGTCACTTAGGCATGTCATCTCCGGTTGTTCGGCGCTTTCTAACTCTGAGTACTTGCACAGGCACAACCTAGTAGCTAGAATTTTACACCAGGAGCTCGCTCTGAAATACGGTTTCGTGGATCGGAAATTGCCGTATTTCAAGTACTTGCCGGAAGCCATGCTCGAAAATGATCGCGCCAGGCTCTATTGGGACCGGGCCATCATCACAGACAGGACTATTCTTGCGAATAAGCCTGATATTGTGCTGATGGACCGGGCACAGTCAAGGATATTTTTGGTCGACATTACCATTCCGTGTGACGAGAACCTCGTGAAAGCCGAAACAGATAAGCAAACAAAATATCTGGACTTGGCTCACGAGGTGACCGACATGTGGGGTGGTCTGCCGACCGAAATTATTCCTGTAGTCGTCTCTGCAAACGGGCTAATCCCAGTCAGCCTCTCGGGTCATCTGAGGCGGCTGGGACTACGTGGCGGACCGCTCCAGGCTCAAATGCAGAAGGCGGTGCTCCTCGATACCGCCCGCATCGTCCGCCGGTTTCTTTCCCTTTCCCCCTAACCCTCGGCCGTTTGGTCTCCCCTGCCGAGGGCCTCCATCTGGTTGGGCTTTTATTTATGTATGTATTTTTGTATTTATTTTATATTATTGATGTTTATGTATATTTATCTTTTCATTTCCATTTATAATTATATATTTATAGAACCCAACCAGATTAGAAAATTATATTGATACCCCCACAATTATAATAATAAAAATATAATGATCCGGGGCCCAGGAGCGGATCAGGCTGATATTTGTCACAAAAAATAGCGCTTTTTTCTGACAAACGCACCCATTATCGCATTCTGGCGTGGCCTGTGGTTAGAGCCCATAAACCACAGCGAGGGCCCTTGGATGGAAGTTGTGGCGAGCCAAGGTGCGAGTGTTACGCCTATGGACCCCATCACCATAACGCCGGAAGACGTGGCTGAGGCGGTCCGTAGGGCCCCGAACTGAAAAAGTCCGGGGCTCGACGGACTGCATCATTACTGGCTGATGGGGTTCATAGTGTGTCACGCTGTGCTCGCCCGACAGTTTCAAGAGGCTCTCGACCAGAAGTCGCTCCCGAGCGTCTTCACTACTGGGATCAGTCACTTGGTTCCTAAAGATCAGGATACATCAGACCCGAGCAAATACCGCCCCATCACGTGTCTACCCACCATATATAAGACACTGACATCCATTTTGAGCGCAAGAAACCGTATGGGAAATGATGTCACGCGCTCAAAATGGATGTCGGGGCGGTGGTCGTGGAACCAAGGAACCACTCCTCATTGACGCGGTCATTGGCAAAGTGGTGAAACGTAACCGTCGGTACCTCTCCACTGCCTGGATAGACTACAGAAAGGCATTCGACTCGGTGCCCCATACATGGCTAAAGAGGGTCCTCGAGCTGTACAAGATTGACTGTACAGTTAGAGACTTCCTGGAGCAGTATATGGGGCAGTGGAGTAAGATCCTTTGTCATCTGGGCGAGCGGATGATGGCTGCGGAGAACCACATAAGGATAAGAAGGGGTATCTTCCAGGGCGATCGTCTGAGTCCAATCTGGTTCTGCCTCTCTCTGAACCCTCTCAGTACATTACTGGAGGGCTCCGGGAGGGGATTTCAGCTACGAAAAGGAGGGCCCTCCAGTAAGGTACTGAGAGGGTTCAGACCCTCTCAGTACCTTACTGGAGGGAGAGGATTTCAGCTACGGAAAGGAGGGACAAAAGTGACCCACCTTTTTTACATGGATGACCTCAAGTTATTCGCCTCCAGTTGCTCCCATCTTATGGAATTGCTAAACATCACTTGTGAATTTAGCGATGCCATTGGAATGGAGCTGGAGACGGATAAGTGTGCTGTCCTCCGTGTTGAAAGGGGAAGGGTTGCTAACTCTAAGGGCATAGACTTGTCTGTGCCCGTCAACTTAAGGACCCTTTCCGAGGCTGAAACATACCGATACCTGGGTATGTCACAGAACATCGGTATCGATGAGGCTGGTATGAAACAGTCAATTTGCGACGTGTTTTATGCACGCTTGCCCAAAGTGCTTAACAGCCTTTTGTCCGGTGTGAATAAGACACACGCATATAACGGCTGGGTCGTGCCTGTCCTCATGTATACCTATGGCATACTCAGGTGGACTCAGACCGAACTTAATGTCCTGGATAGAAAAGTCCGCACTACCAAGACGTCTCATAGGATGCATCATCCGAGATCGTCGTTAATGAGGCTGTACTTGCCGCGAAAGCATGGTGGGCGTGGTTTTCTGAGCGTGCTCACCATGCATAATCGCGAAGTGTGCAGCCTCCGACATCACTTCGGATGATCCATTCTATAATGACGTCATTTCTAGTAATAAAGGGCTTACCCTCTATCCTTAGCAAGACCCAGCAGTGCTTAGCATTTCCAACCGGAAGACCCTATGGAAGGAGAAGGAGCTCCAGGGGAGGTCTCTACAGGGCTCTACATGAGCCCTTCGTAGACACAATCGCCTCCCTCAACTGGCTACGTTTCGGTGACCTATTCGGGGAAACCGAGGGTTTTGTCTGTGCAATACAGAATCAGGTTATTAAGACCAACAGCGAGATACATCCTAAGGGATGGCACCGTCGACGTCTGTCGATTATGTCGCCATCCCGGGGAGTCACTTAGACATGTCATCTCCGGTTGTTCGACGCTTTCTAACTCTGAGTACTTGCACAGGCACAACCTAGTAGCCAGAATTTTACACCAGGAGCTCGCTCTGAAATACGGTCTCGTGGATCGGAAATTGCCGTATTACAAGTACTTGCCGGAAGCCGTGCTCCAAAATGACCGCGCCAGGCTCTAATGGGACCGGCTCATCATCAAAGAGTACTATTCTAGCGAATAAGCCTGATATAGTGATGATGGACCGGGCACAGTCAAGGATATTTTCGGTCGTCATTACCATTCCGTATGACGAGAACCTCGTGAAAGCCGAAACAGATAAGTGAACAATATATCTGGACCTGACTCACGAGGTGACCGACATGTGGGGTGGTCGGCCGGCCGAAATTATTCCTGTAGTCGTCTCTGCGAATGGGTTAATCCCAGTCAGCCTCTTGGGTCATTTGAGGCGACTGGGACTCCGTGGACTGGTAATGGACGCCCAAATCATGGATGATGGACAAAAAGATAGTACGCAAAGGGCCGCTGCCTGGAGGTCGCCAGGGCGCGTCTGGAGCTGGCGCTGGACGCGACAGTATGCGGGCCGCTATCCGAGCGTGGGGTGCTGCAAGACCACCTAGCAGCCCCCCCCCCATCCATTATCCCCACCAGAAGGCTTTGTGGCGGCTGGCTCTTCTCGGACTCAGCAAGCGGCACCCGTCGCTGGTGGAGCACGTCGCATTTGTTGGTCACAATTAATGAACGCAAACGCACTGCGGGCGTACTTTAGGGCAATAGGATGGATGTTTGGCGTATCGGGCTCGGATGCTTCGCTTTTCTGCAGAGCTGGAGCCATCTCTATCCGTCACTGAGCAAAAACTGGCAGACCGAGTTCGGTACATGCTGCGCTCCAACATATTTGGTGACGCCGAACTTGAACGTCTACGACGTGAGGCTGTTCCCTCATCGAATGGAAATGCTACGGCTGAGAATGCGGCGCCACTAGATGCGCAACAAACTGCATATGCATGTGGATGCTGCCGTCAATATTCCATTTGTGATTAATTCAGACGATGATGGAATAGTGTATCACGAACTAGAGAAAATGAGGAGCATATTGGAAGAGTCGATGCTGGAAACGCGGACCATGCCTCTCGAAAATCGACCGCGACTTTCTCGCATACCCCTTAGCAAGCGAAATCGGGCTGTCGTGCGGGCTCTTAACTCAATGCTGGTGACCTATTTGGAAGCCAGCCGGGACCTTTGCGAGACGGAATCAATTCTATTTGGCGCCGCACTGGCAGTATGCCGCATTATTGGTTCCAAAATTCCCATGGCTGGACGTGCTACTCGACAAAGTAGCGCCATCTCAGTCTGGAGAAAAAGAATCGAGGACCGTATCTCAAAGGCAAGGGTTCTTATCGGCAGACTAACAAACTTCAGGTCAGGTAATAATAGACCGAGAGTTGTGCGCACCGTTAGAATGGCATTTGCTGGGACATACATTAGTTTGTGCCAGCCGGATATCACGCAGAAACTAACGGAGCGCATAGATGACCTGAAGCAAAAAACTCTGCTTGAGGGAAGCGAATTCGACGATTTCGCGCGAGGTCAAGGCGGTTCAACCAGAATCGTCTCTTCCAGAGTGATCAGAAGAGGCTCTATAAATCATTGGAGTTCGTAAGTGCACGTTATTGTGTATAGACGTGTCATATAGTAATTAAAATAATTAAATAAGTATGTGCTTAGCCGTGACCTCGTTATAACAATACCGGAAGTAACTGTGACATACTTTAGTTATATTTGTGTTAGTGATTTTGTTGAAATGTTTTAACTTTATCTAGAATAGGTACTAAAACGGAGAACAGTCCCTTTAACCGGAGTGCCAGGACCACTCGCACCCTGCCTCCATCAACCCCGCCCATGCAGACACCCACTTCAAGCGAACCAATTAAAACACTTCCAACTCCTGAGTTGCAGCATTGGATGACAAGCATTGACCTGTGCCTTAACGAGGTGTGCTCCATCGCAACAGAGGGAAAACTTAACTCTGATCAAAAAATGCGCATTAGCTCACATCTGGTAGTCCAGTACATGTCCCTCAAAATGGATGCCACTAAAGCCCAGACCTCCATCGTATCTCTGCAGAAACAACTTGACCTGTCCCAAAAGCTGCAGGAACTCAATAATAGTATCGAAGAGTCATCAAAACCGGACTCTGGAACCACTTTTGCGGACATGGTCAAAAAAGGTGGCCAAACCCTCATTCGCCCAAACAACCTTAGTACCCTAGCAATTTATCCGAGGGACAAGTCCAAATCCAGTGATGACACGAAGTGCCTCTTACAAAAAATAATATCCCCAGAAGAACTCAAACTACATGTCCGAGGCATGAGGAAGGTCAAAAATGGGGGATTTATAATTAGCGCTGAGACAAAAGCAGATATCGACAAATTAAAGAACTCCGAGAAGCTTGTATCTTCTGGCCTTACCATGGAAGAACCGACTAAACGACGTCCAAGGATTGCAATTGTTGGTGTCCCTGTAGCCCTCACGGATAAAGAAGTGTTCGAGTGCATTTTCGAACAAAATATTGCCGATAAATTTCCCAATGCCACGCGTGAGTCCTTCCTGGCAACAGTCAAACTGAGCCATAAATCAGGTAAGAAAATCCTTCCTACCTGTAATTACATTGTCGAAGTGTCACCTAGCATCAGGAAGGCCCTTATCAATCAAGGACGAATTTATATTAATTGGACCTCATGCCCAGTCAGGGACTTTACAATAGTAACAAGATGCTTCAACTGCCAGCAGTTTGGTCATTCAGCAAAATTTTGTCGGGAAAGTAGCCCTACATGTAACTACCGTGGAGAGCTCGGGCATTCCTTTAAGGAATGTAATAACACGCTTTGTTATGCCCCCGTTTGCGCGACGTTTAAACGTTTTAAAAGAAAATGCGACCACAAAACTGGTGATGAAAGCTGTCCAGCACGTAAATTCGCAGGCGACAAATATATCAACTCCATAGACTATGAGGGCGCCTAAGAGCGCCGCGTATTATATTATTTAGTTAGCTCTTAAACACTAGTTTTAGTTTATCTTAAGCTTAAGTATGGCGAATCAATTACTCAATGACCTAGACAGCTTTTCTGTGTCTGACGCCAAAACTTATGTAATGGGTTTCCCTTTTTTTTTTTTTTTGGGGAGATTTAAAAAATGTTTTAGTATGCTCTAAGAATGTTGATGACTGTAAACACTTCCTTCCACGTCCTGAAAATAAGTTAATGTTACTTACACAAAATATTAGAAGCATAAATCGGAATATAACTGGGTTTGAAGTTTTGTTGCATAGACTGGATATAAAATGTGATATTATTATCCTTACAGAATGTTGGCTGTCAAACCTCCCATCCCACCTACCGATTCTAAATGGCTATTCTTTACAGAAAACCGAGAAAAATATTAATCAAAATGACGGGTTAGTAATCTATGTTAGAAATAATTTAAAAGTAACTGTCACAGAACCTACATTCCAGGATAGTAATTGCTTAATCATTCGAATTAATTCCGAGACGATTGTTATCGCAGTTTACACACCTCCTTCACAAAATATTGATAGATTTCTAGAGTCCCTTGATATTACCTTAAGTAAATTTAGCACATATAAAAATATAATTCTAACCGGTGACATAAATATTAACACTACCCCTGGGAAAACAGATAACCATGCACATAACTACCTAAATATTTGGTCTTTTCATGGGCTATTACCAACACATTACCACCCTACACATCAAAGCGGCTCTTGTTTAGACCATTTTGTGATTAAATCAAATAACCCTTCTTTAACATTAGTTACTAATTCCTCGCTTACTGATCATTAAGCAATTTTACTAACATTCCAATTAGCCTTACCTAGGAAAAACTGCATACGCAACTACACTAAAGTCCTCGCTACACTAAGACGAACCTCGAAAATGACATTCGTAGCATTAATTTTGACTTTGTTTATTGCTCTGACGATGCAAATACGTCCATGATTTACTTTATAAATTCTTTACAATACGCAATAATGAATAATACATCAACAATAAAACTGTCACGTAATTATTATAATATTAAACCTTGGATAACACCTGGTCTCGTCCGCTGTATAAGAAATAGAGACAAACTTCATTTAAAATCTAAACTTTCTCCTGATAATTTAATACTTTCTGCTACTTATAAAAGATATAGGAATTTTTGCAATAAACTATTAAAAAACCTCAAAATACAATATGATAAAAATGTTTTACAAAAGGCCGGTAAAAACAGTAAACTTGTATGGAAGTTCATTAAAAATAATACCTTCAGTTCAAAAAATCTTGGACCTCCACTTGATCTACTGTCATTAGACAAAAGCCCAAACGAAGCAACTAATAAAGTAAATAATTATTTTATTAATGTTGGCAAAAAAAAAAATAGCAGAGACAACTTTAAAATTAAGCAACACTCGTAATCCAATTTTTATGACCACATCCTTTTCTAAGTTAAATTCTTTTGTATTGTTAAATACCGATATTGATGAGATTTTAAGTATAATATCTGGCTTAAAAGAAGATTGTGCAGTTGGATGGGACAATATACCTAATCGCATACTCAAAAGATTTAAACATTTACTAGCCGCCCAGTTAACACATATCTTTCAATTATGCCTATCAAATGGTATTTTCCCGAAAGTGCTTATAAAAGCAGTGGTTTCTCGTATTTACAAAGCTGGTGATAAAAACTTAGTTAGTAACTATAGGCCGATTTCAGTCTTATCTGGCTTATCTAAAATTTTAGAAAAGATCATAAATACCAGGTAAATAAAATACCTGGAAACTAACAACTTGCTGTCAGACAGACAATTTGGTTTTAGGCCTAAGAGATCATGCAATGATGCCTTGCACCAATTGACAGATTACGTCACAAGTAATCTTGACAACGGTATGCACTCAATTGAGATCTTTTTAGACCTTGCCAAAACATTTGATACTATTTCTTGTCCCTATACTATTGCAAAAGCTTGAAACACTTGGCATAAGGGGAACTCAACTACAAATTTTTTCTGATTACCTCAGTGATCGCTTTCAATGTGTAAAAATCGGTTGTATACAAGTACTGAATTACAAAACAGCTCTTATGGAACCCCACAGGGCAGTATCCTGGGGCCTACATTGTTCCTAATCTATATAAATGACTTATGCAATCTTCAACTTCAAAATGGTGTCATTATGTCGTATGCAGATCAGACAGCCCTGTTATTCTCAGCTACATCACGAGATGGGGTTTATAAATACGCTCAGCAAGGCTTTAACATAGTATCTAATTGGCTTCTTAATAATCTCCTACGTTTAAACGCTGATAAAACACAATATATGTTATTTTTAATGAGAAATAATAACATACCTACTCACCTAAATATTTACGCTCATAATTATAACTCGTATAATGACACTGCATGTGCATGTTCCGCATTAACAAAAACAGGCAATATAAAATATCTAGGTATCACGCTTGACACAAATTTAAATTTCCGCAAGCACATCGATTTACTTTGTGCTAGAGTTCGTAAATTAATATATATTTTTAAATATCTTCGTAACATCGCTGACTTCAAATTGATAAGACAGGTCTATTTAGCTTTGTGTCAATACACACTCACTTATGCCATTACTTCCTGGGGTGGAGCTTTTAAAACAATATTGCTCCCATTAGAACGTGCTCAGATAGCAGTTTTAAAGGTAGCCACTTTCCGCCCATTCATGTTTCCTACACATCAACTTTACTTGGCATGTAGTGTACTAACTGTCCGTCAGTTATTTATCCTGAACATTATATTAAAACAGCATACCGAACTCCATTTAACTCAAAATCCATAGACAGGAGAAGAATGGACTTAGTTTGTGTTAACCCTCAAACTAAACACGCATTTGTGAACAAATTTTACATATTTTTAGGACCCTTTCTATATAACAAGCTCAACAAGTCACTAAAGGTATAGTCTAAGTTATAAGAACTGTAATATAAGTGTAAGGGAATTTCTAAATAAATTAAGAAGACAAGAGAGTTTTAGAAATTTAAATAGAATTGTAGGTATTTGTTTTTTATTATATAATATAGTTTAATTATTACATATCTAGTGTCCTACATTATTAAACCCATTGTGTAAGTGATGTCTGAAACACAGGTACTCAATCTAGTTCAGGCAGGTAGCTAATATTATAAACTTGACTTTTTTATTTTTCTTTTGTATATTCTACATTATTAAGCTACACATAGTTTTAATTTTAGCATAGTATGTTATTTTTGTTAGACTTATTGTTACTTTATTTAATTGTAATCATATTTATTCCTGTATGTAAACATGTGTAATTGGAAATGAAATAAATACTTATTATTATGGGGTATCTATATAGTTTCTATCTGGTTGGGTTCTATAAATATATAATTAAAAATGAAAATGAAAAGATAAATATACATAAATATCAATAACATAAAATAAATAAAAGTACATAAATAAATAAAAGCCGTTTTTTATTATTATTATTATTGGAGCGACCAGAGATATGTAGAGTGGGCCCAGGACCGGATCAGGCTGACACTGTCGCATTTTGGCGTGGCCTGTGGTCAGAGCCCGTAAACCACAGCGAGGGCCCTTGG